TAGAGACAGCATGAAAAGTCAGCTGAGTACAAAACATAGAGAGGAAAACAAGAAGAAAAGGGACAAGAAGAGAGGGACACAACCTAGAACAGATAATGGATGTCTATTCTATTAACATTTCTCTATCTGAGAATGGGGCTGTTCTATGTGTTGGCTTCTCCATTCAGAGGGGCCCACATGCCTGTCTTTGCCTAGGGCCCCACATTTCCTAAATCCGCCCCTGAAAGAGAGACTACATGCAGTCCTGTCCTGTACAGAGAAGCAACATCCTTTAAAGAGAATAAGAGTTTCTTTAGGAACAACAAAATGATGGCAAACTCTCTGGGAGCCACAGGAACAGAATAGGAGGATAAAACCTTTAAATAAGAGTAAAGATGCTTAAAGAGTTTAGCTTAAAAATGATCTTATTATCAAACCAACTGGAAAAGTGTTAATTGGTCAGATTTATGGGGTCATTTTTTAATATCATAGTTAGATTGAAGTTAAAACTGAAGACCTGTTAGTTTAGAGAAGATATAATTAAGAATTTAAATCCATAGAGATATTTCCTGATCCAGTGAATGTTTAAGTTTAGACTGATTGGTTTTACTGGAACAGAAGGATAATCAGACTGGTTCAGTTCCAGCTAAATATGAGAAGCAAATATTTAGTTATGTAATTATTAACCAATTAGTTTAGAAGACACTTTACGCTCCGTCTGACGTGCGTCATGACGTCAGGAACGTCACTGTCATCTTTTCACCGGGAGAGGAGAAGGGCGTCCGGGGTGACTGGTCGAGGCAGAGCCGCTAGGACGCTTTCTGGAGGTCAGTACCCGGCTCAGGGTGGTCGGTGGGCGGCTGTGGGTGTGAGCAGAGGCGGCCTGCCGCGCTCTGACGGATGGAGCGGCTTTCAGTTGGAGCTGAATCGTTTCTAAGACCTCTGCTTGCTGTTAGCATGCCGGCCGCTAGCCTCGTGAGAGCTAACCGCGGTGTGAGCTGAACTCCGAGGTCACCTGGAAAAAGCGGCCTCACCTGTCCGACCTGCGGCCGCTCTGGATGGCCGCCACCTGGGGAAGATGCTGGCTTAGCTTTAGGCCTCTAATTACTTTAATTAGCTTTGGTTGCTCTGCGGAGCTAACCGGCTAATTACATAACCTGACCGGTTAGCCCTGAAGCTAACCAGCCTCCCGGCGGAGGGATACACCGCACTACTTTACAGCCGGAGCGGTTTCAGCTGTTTAAACATCCTGAGCGGAGGAGTTTCTCAGCATTAATCAAAACTTTCATGTTCTGGAACTCATGACTCCTGAAAGGACAAAGTTACTGACAGTTTAACCGGCCAATAGGCGGGCCTGCTGTCCCACCACTAGCCAATCAGGTGGCATGCTGGGCAGGCGGTGGGCGTGTCCATACAGGAGCGGAACCGAACAACAAGGTCAAAACACAGGAACTACACTGGGCGGAGGGTCTGACGGGTCAGCAGAACCAGCCTTAGCCGGGTCCTGTTACAGGGGAGCTCCCAGAACTTCCCAGAACCATAGCCTGTTTCCACACCGACCAGGACCAGACTCTGACTTCTACTGGACTCTGGCCCAGAGCCTGGCAGATCCAGAGCCTGGCAGGTCCAGACCCTGGCAGGTCCAGAGCCTGGCAGGTCCAGACCCTGGCAGATCCAGACCCTGGCAGGTCCAGACCCTGGCAGGTCCAGAATCTGGCATGTTCACAGCAGTTAAAGGGAAGCAGAGACCTGGACAGGACGTGTTCAGAACCAGAACTTTATGACCAGACCGTCCTCGGTTCTGATGGAGACCTGATGGAGCTGGATCAGAACCATCTCCTCAGCGGTGGACTGCTGCTCCGGTCAGGGTGAATCTGGTTTCCAGCCGTCAGAGCCTGAGCGTAACCGGAGCAACCGGGTCTTTGATCTGATTGGTTCTGAGACGACAAGGAGAGGAGCTGGAAAAGAAGCTGCTCCAGAACCTGCTCCTCCATGATGAAATGATCTGGTTCAGCTGGGGGGGGCGGAGCTTTAGTGCTTAGAGGAGTGCGCCGGGTCCTGAAGGTTCTGAGTTCAACTCCCACAGATTAAGATGAATAAAGTTCAGATTTATCCCCCTGACCCGTTCACCCACCACTGGAGAGTTCTGGTCCAGGCGTTCCACAGCCCCATTAGGTCCAGATCTAGATGGACCAGATGTGTTTGGTGGAAGATCTGGAGCCTCTAGAGTCGATGCGTCAGACTGTAAACGTTTCTGGCTTGGTTCTGTTAAGCATCCATATGGATGTTCTGGCCCGGTTCATCCAACAGAACCTTCTTTATAGCTTCAAACTGGACCCATAATGCATCCTGGTGCTGACCCAGATGATCTGGACCTACTCTGTCATCCTGACCCGTTTAACCCAGTAAAACCCAGCTGCTCATTGGTCCAGAACGTTTCCAAGACCCAGAACAGTCGGGTCGGTTCTGTGCTTAGTTCTTCCTGAACAGGCGGGTTTCCAGGTAGATTGGAAACCTGTTCCTGGGTCCGTTTAGATCTTGGCTTCCATGCTTCCTCTTGGTTCTGGGTCTGGCAGATGAGAGCAGAGGCGGTCGGGTCGGGCTGCTGCAGGGGGCGGAGTCAACTAGAGGCTGAGAACCAAAGTGGCAGGAATGAACCTGGGTTGTTTCTGGTTGGATGTTGATGTTCAGGTCCAGCAGAACTCCTCACCTGGTTCTAGAGAATCCTGCAGAACTTTGCTTTAAATATAAAAGCCTTATTTTTCTCCTGCTGCCGTCTGACTCTGTGTCTCTCTCCCACAGTGGACGTTTGATTCGCCGTTTTCCTGTCCAGGCCCGGGTGGAGTCCATTTTCCCTCGTTTCTCTGAGGACGTCCGGACCGTCGGACCCATCGCCGCCACGGTGCGCGTGTGACGCTTTAAGGACTGCTCATGCATCGCTTAAGGACTTGTGCGGCGCGACTGCGTCCGCTCACCGCCTCGCAGGCGGCTCAGACTGTCGGCCAACAGCGGCCAATCACAGTTGCCAATGGAGTCGGCACAAGGACGTTTCGGCCAATCAGGTGCTACTCGACACCTGTGGCCTCTGAACCGTTCCTGAATGGGACGAGCTCCAACTACGTGGAGGAGATGTACTACGCCTGGTTGGAGAACCCAAAGAGTGTCCACAAGGTGAGCAGCGTGGCGCCCCCTGCAGGCGGAGGGAGTCCAACAGATGAGCTCCTCAGACTGAGGTCCAGGAGCAGAGAATGAGTTTGGTTCTGAAGCTTTTAGTTCTGCTGGTTCTGAGAAACATGAGTCAACCAGGAGGCCTGGTGCTCCTGACCTGTTCTGGTACCGGAACTGGTCTGGTACCTGTTCTGGGTCAACTCCACCCTGAACATCAGAGCCAGGGATCTGTGGGTGCGGGTTTGAGGAGGTGACCCGTTGGTTCTGTCGTGTCTGCTAACTGAACTGTGAACAAACGGACATGTTCTGCTCAGTCCTTTGGTTCAGAACCTGAACGCGACCCGGCTGCAGGCCATCAGAGCTGATGGTGTTTCAGGGGTCTGGGTGGTAAAGGAGACAGATGCTAAAATTAGCTGCATGTTTGTCTCTGCTGAGGCCACAGGCCCGCCACACCAGAACTGGTCAGGATCAGATTCCAACACATTCATTCTGGGCAGAACATTGATCCATAACGGCACCACACAGAG